CTGGGGGTCGGGAGAGCGGCGGGATCACTCCGCCTACTCTCCCCGCCCCCAAGCAGGGTTTGCGGGGACTTCCTGGGCTTGGGCGCCCGGAAGAAAGTCGCTGCCAAGGGCTTTCTTCCTCCTTTTTCTGGTCCTTAAAAGCCCCTGTCGCTGAAGCCGGAACTTGCTCAACCCAGCACCTCAGAATTGACCCCCCTTTCCCGCATCGGCGCCGGTGTGGCTCTCCTCTTTGCAACAGGGCAGGGGTTTTCTCTGCCACCTCGAAATCCGAAACCCGGAGCAGCTGCGCGAATGTGCCGCGGAGACCACCCTGATGCCAGGCATGGAAGGCTTCCCAAGCTGAGGTCGTTTCACAGCTCCATTCGCTCCTGCAGAAGATTGCAGGCCTCGAGTCCGCGGCCCCAGCGCCCCTCCAAGCTCCTAGCCCTGTGCAAGCAGGCCCACCTGCCGAGGTGCTACCCAAGGTAACGCCGCCGCAGGCCGCAGGCCGTGGATCCTGACCAGGAAATACTTCTTGCACACGGAGATACTACACTTTAACAATGGAATTCCCAGCACTGCCCCCTCCCCACTAAAGGAATTGCTCAGAACACTGCCCAGCTAAGGTCATGCCTGGTATGACATGTAGTCCTGGAGGGATCCTTTAGGAAAGGCATGTTGAAGCCACTCCTCCCAGAAGTTGTCGCTAGTGGAGTAATACAGGCATAACTAACATATTGCTCCCTAAGTTACCATGCCAGCCCCTTTCCAATACTGAAGACTTTCCCCCTTCCTGTTCTTGGGGTGGGGGTGGGGGAGTGGGGGGCAATGTTGTCACAAAAACAGTCATAGAAACAAACCAAGCTTACAACATCAGAACACCCAGGGGTGTCTCAGGACCTCGGCTGTGCACCTGCAAAGCTTCCTTTGAAGCACAACAAACCGTCTACCCCACTCTCTCCCCTCCCCCCTCGCCCAGGGTAATTAATATCAATTTTCCTTAGTTCCAACACATCTTTAAGTGAATATGCAGATAACTTCAAATAGATAATTAAAGGAGTAGTTAACTGGGGACTAGGGACCCCTGTATCACATCATAAAAAGATTTTAAGGAATTTCATTATCTCAGAATTCAAGTAGCAAACTATTTTAAATGAGCCACAGCCTCCCTTAACCTAAGGCCCATTGAGGTAGTTGTTATTTCTTAAAGAAAATACTTCTTAAATATTTTTTTTAAAAAAAATCTCAATTGGCTCTTTTATTTTACAGAAAGGTATTCTGCCCTGAATTAACACTTTCCTCCCTTCGAAGAAAGCAGAAAGGATGGTACTCCATGGCCTAAAAATGTACACATTGAAGCTAGTGGTAACCAGCTTAAAACTGATCGGAACAGTAAACTAATTCCTAGATTGACAGAGAAAAATGATTTCTTTACTATTGAACTTTTTGGGAGTGATGGCCTGGCCTCACCACCTGCTTAATCAGGGTTTGTTACCTGGACATTGTGCACTTCATTCTAGCATGTGAAGGCATTTATTCTAAATGAACTCACGAAAGGACATTTTCTAAGAATTTAGCATAAACACTCTTTGCCAATGAAAGAGATATTTTCTGGCGTCCTGTCTCCTGTGCTGTTACCCTTATTGCAGAAACAGCTCTTGTTTCATTAAAGTGGATGCAGGAGAAGCCAGTGAAATGAAAAGATGAGGGATATTTCATCAAGGACATATGTGCTGAGTGCATTGGAGGCCCAAACTCCATTTTCTGATTCTTTCCAAATATTTTAGCACTTTGCAATCAGCTTTTTGAATCTTTCCAAATATTCCAGGGTTTGGCAATTTATGCACAAAATATTATTGCATACACTTATTACTTTTCAGTTCCTATCCCAAAAGGGTTTCTATCCTAGAAAGGGTTTCAAAGGCAGTGATTAAATTAAATGAAATAATTGTTCAGTGATAAGCTGAACACAAGAAAATGTTTTGTTAAGTAGTAATTTTGGCCTAACAGCTGTGTGCATCTCGTCCAGTGTAAATTATCCCTGCTTCTGTTATCCATGCATGCTTCCATATTCTTTCATTCTCTCAGTCTTTCTCCCTTCCTTCCTCCCTCCCTCCCTCCCTATGGTGATGGTCTCATTGTTGTCATAGCCATCGTGTGTGTGTGTGTGTGTGTGTGTGTGTGTGTGTGTGTGTGCAGATAACTTCAGATAACGCACACACACACACACACACGTGTGTGCTTGCTGGTGCTAATGGGGACAGTGGGACAGATGCATTTTTATATTTCACTGTGGACTGAAATATCAACAAGCCAAATTTCAACTACAACAAAGCCTAGCTTTACCCTTTTGAATCTTATAAACATGTTTTCTAATTAGCATTTGTTCCTGATTTTTGTGATTTTGTTTCTTGATTCTACAAATACGAATCAATTGCTTGTACAATCCAGTAAAAAGAGGTATACCTAGCAATTTAAATATGTGATTTTATTGAGGATACTTTTTCACATACTATTATTTTGCATATGCCATATGTAGGTAAATTGCCAAATAAATGGGTTAAGTAGGGGTTATGTAGTCTATAACATATTATGGGATAAATATGGAAGGATAAAGAGTTACATTTTTGCACTGACTCTCCTATTTAACATATATTTCTTCCATCTGCATTGTCCCTCCTTGTTTTTCACACCAGGACAATATTCCCACTTCTTTCAAGGGTAAGTAGCTGACCCTGGAGTTCAGAATGCTCATGCCACCTTCTCCAAGTGGCCTTCGTTGGTTGATTCCATCCCACCCAAGGTTAGCTGTCTTACAGTTTCTTTCTCTAAACATTGCTGTACACCTTGTGCCAGGCAAACCCATATCTTCATATACCTTCTTTTCCCTCATCCAAATTGAAGTTTTACACACTCAGGGGACTTTTCCCCACTTATATAAAGAAGCAATCACTGAATGGTATGAGATTCACAAAGTCTAATTCAATAAGTACATGAATTGAAGAGAACCCTTCAAAGGTCTTGCAGTGGTTCTCAACCTTCTGGCCCTTTAAATACAGTTCCTCATGTTGTGACCCAACCATAAAATTATTTTCGTTGCTACTTCATAACTGTAATGTTGCTACTGTTATGAATCGTAATGTAAATGTCTGATATGCAGGATGGTCTTAGGCAACCCTTGTGAAAGGGTCATTTGACCGCCAAAGGGGTCGCGACCCACAGGTTGAGAACCGCTGTGACTTAGAGGAGATTCAAAAGCCAACTTGCTTGGTCATACTTACCTCTGATATTTCATCAGCAGCAATGATGAAAACTGACATAGCCATCATCCACATGAAAGTACATGTTTATATCAGTTTCTCATACTTTCCTACCCCAGAAATGAAGAATGAAGCAAATTCTGAAACACTTTTTTACTATTTTAAAATATAATTTAATGGTAAGTTTTGCTCCTTTATCACCTCTTTGGTAATTTAAATAACTGAAGTTTGTTGTTGTTTTTTTCAAAAGGATGATTAGAAAGTTGTGTAATTGGTGTAGCTGAAAGTTGTAGGTATAATGGCTTAATTCCCATCTCAGCATAAGAATCACTAGGAATAAAATGAATAAAATAATGGGTAATTGTTAACTATGTTTAAGATTAAGCACCTAAAAGGTCATTAAATTAATTATGTTTGAAGACTCCCAGGAAGAAAGGGTTAAAGTTGCTTTGATTTTTTTCTTTTAACTCTTTAAAGTACTCTCTTGTGTCAACAAAGAAATTATTTATGTCAGATATGAAGGAACCCATTTTCAAAGGAATCACCATTGATATATAAATCAGCTACAATAATTTAACATTAATGACCAATGCTACTTCCCATCTAATATTTTGTTTTTTAAAACAGATGGTCATCAATTAATTCAGTTGATCTTTTAACAACTTATAAAGTGAGTATATCTATAATAATGTTTTACAAGAGAAACTATCATAATCTTTTACAGATATCTCTCTTCCTTGTATAATAGTACTTATTTATCTGTAGGTTTCCAAAGCATAATGTAGGTGGTAGGTATTCAGTTAATATTGACAGGCTAAATTGATTTGTCTTTCATTTTGAATGCTTTGTATTCAATGTCTCACTTAGCCTATCCAGCCATCTCCTGAGCTATTATGCCATTTTTTAAAGATGAGGAACACCAAAATCCATACAATAAAAAATAGTGAAAACTGAACTGAAATCTATTTGTTTCTTTTCTCATTAAAGTACTGGAGGAAAGAGAGAGCCAGAGAAATATAATGGCTTCATTACATATGTCTCATTGTTTTCTAGTTTTTACAGAACTACAGGAAAATAATAATTGCTAACATGACAGAGTGCTAACATGACAAATTGTAAGGTATATACATTTTATAGCTTCCACTCTCAACTGATGATAATTGATTTTATATCAATCACAATTTGCCTCAATTATTTTATATATAATAATTTATGAAAAGTTCTTGAAAAATGTTTGGCTGAAATATCAAAATACAGATGTAAAATAAAGATGTTAAATTATTGTAGCTGATTTATATATCAGATGGTGATTCCTTTGAAAATGGCTTTCTTCTTATATTACATAAATAATTTCTTTGTTGACACAAGAGAGTACTTTAAAGAGTTAAAAGAAAATATAAAAATAAAGATATAAAATGTGTATCTAATTATTAATAGAGGAATAGGTTTGAGAAAATAATCATATAGACATTATGGAGAAAATATTATATCAAAATATTTATTTACTTAAAACAGCATTCTATACATTTCAGGAATGTGAATTAATGATAGAGTTTAGATTTCAGCTTGTTATTTGGTCACTGAGTAAAGATTTTTATTGAAATAAAAATATGGTATATTTTGGAGTCTAAGTATTATATAAGAAAAAATAAAGATGATCCCTACAAAGTCAAAGCATGTGATTTTTCTATTTTAATTCTAACTGACCATGTGACATTTAGGAAGGTCATTTAATTTATCTGAGCCTTAGTTTTAGGATATATACAACCACAATAAGGTATGTCTTCCCTTACCTGCCTTCTAAAGCTGTAGGAGTATCAAATTTGACAATGGTCCTTTATATCATTATTTTATGACCTTATATTACTGATTATTCACATAATGAAACCCTCTAAGAAATAAAATATTTGGAGATCGCTACAATTGATGAGGACTGCATGTCTGTTGCTGAAATAACTGTATTCTGATTCTGATTTACAGAGAGAAAAAAGGTTAGCTCAGTAGTATTTCTTTTTCTGCCCCACTAGATGCTGAAGAGTCATATCAGTGTGTGTGTGTGTGTGTGTGTGTAGTTGTTTGTTTATTTAACTATGAAACATTACTGTTCTAAGAGACCCTAAGTAACCCTCCACAAACTTCAGAGTAAGTATTCCTCTTGGCAGAGTAAATACAATATAATGAATGACCCTAGAGTTCAGAGTGCTCATGCAACCAGACAGCAGAACTCACGGGAAGTAAACCCTATGGATATACTGCATTAACTGACAGCCTTGTTTGGGGAGGCATCAATTTAACTTTAAACCCATGAGCTCATTGCAAGCAAGGAAGAGGAGATGTCTCCCAATGCAGGAAACGGTTGCCATAGCATTTTCCTTCCCTCTTACTGCCTACTCCTCCACTCCTAAAGCAGCAACAATTTGTGCTCTACTATTTTCTTTCAGGAGCCAGATGCATTTTCAGAAGCCAGGACTCCAGTGATGTGATTGCGATAGCTACACCACCTACTAACTGTTTTCGGTAAGGATATCAAATAAATCCATTAAGTTTCTCAGGACAGAATCATCTTTGCGGCTGGAACTGCCGAACAGGAAACAGACTCAGAGAGAATTTCAACCCCCGCCCCCAGTCTCATTGGCCCTTTGCACAATCCAAGCCACAATCACTCCTGCAACACAACATATTCCTTTCAGCACTCGCAGCCCTGGACAGCTCCCTCGCCGCGCGGTTCATTCCCCTGCAGTGAGCAGAATCCTGTTCAGCCTGCACCGGTCGGGTGCGGCATCCGACACCAAGTCCTCCCCAGAGCTTGCAGAGCACGCGCTCCGTCCCTCCTCCCTCTCGGCGCCCCCGCCACTGGCTCACCCCAGCTCACTCCAGACGCGACTTTAAGGGATTCCCTCTCGGACGGCCTCTGCTGCAGCACATCTGGTTTCATTCGCTGCAAGGCAACCATGGATCTCCGAGGAAGAGCCGTTCTCAGCTTGAATAGACTTCGAGTTCTCCTAATGCTGTTCCGTGAGTAACGTTTTGGCGATCGCGAGGGCCGAGTACATTCTTTGCAGAGAATAGGGCCAGCATAGTAAATAAAGTCCGTAGCGTAAGATGTGGCCCATAAAATTTCGCGTGGTATTTTAGAAGGGGGGGGGGGGGAGGAGAGGAGAGGAAGGAGGGGGCAGAGGGCTTCCCTGCTAGGAATTCCCCAGAGAGCCACACACCTGTATGCCATATCACAGAGAGTGCTGTACCGGCCTCTTCGTGGGGTCAGAGCATTGGTAAGAAAGATTTGGTTTAAAATCCCAAGATTAAAAAAAAAAAGCCAGTATGGCTATAAATGAGTAAAGGCTTCATTTTTTATTTTATTTTTATTATTAATCAACAGCAATGGGCTTGAATTTGTTGGCACTAGGTTAGAGAAAAGGCTCGCAGATCGCATAGCAGTCGTTGGGAACTTTGTCACCCCCGAGCCCGCAGACCAGGATCTCCAAACACGGAGCCTGGAACCCATAGGATTTTTTCCCCCCGCAGATACAATGGCTCGAGTCACGGCAGAACAAGAAGTGGAAAATCTCTCAGGCCTTTCCACTAACCCTGAAAAAGATATATTTGTGGTGCGGGAAAATGGGACGACCTGTCTCATGGCAGAGTTTGCAGCCAAATTTATTGTCCCTTATGATGTGTGGGCCAGCAATTATGTCGATGTAAGGAACCTTTTCCTTCCCAGCTTGCTCCTAGGGCTCCAGGGGCGAAGGGCACCCACCCTCAATGCCCTATGAAGGCCTGGGTCGCCTGCCTTGCCCCCTTGGTCCCTGCAGGCTGCTCCCGAATGCTGCATGGGGGTTCCGGCTTGTAACGCCTCCTGCTCGCTCTGCCTGCTTTGAAAGTAACCCCCTCTCTCTGCTTCCCTAACGGCGGGGTCTGCACGTAGAGCATCTAACCGCATGTTCCCAGACCTGGGATCACGCGCGCAAAGGAGAGCCCAGGCGTGCAACCTGGAGTATGGATGCGCCGCCCTTTACAGCCCCCACTGGGGCCGGGCGCGCTGAGGGGGTGCGGGGCGTCTGTGTTCCCAGCTGATCACGGAACAGGCTGAAATCTCACTGACCCGGGGAGCTGAGGTGAAGGGCCGCTGTGGCCACAACGAGTCGGAGCTGCAGGTGTTCTGGGTGGATCGCGCGTACTCGCTCAAACTGCTGTTTGTAAAGGTAACTCGGAGCCCAGGGGGGCGCAGACTCTCCCGGGAGGGTGTGGGCAGGGGCCGCCCCTCAGTGTCTCCGCCCAGAAGCTGCAGGGGCCATTGATGCGCGCCTTCTCCGCTGGGCAGGAAGGTCACAACACCTCCAAGGGCCCCGAGGCGACGTGGAGGCTGAGCAAGGTCCAGTTTGTCTACGACTCCTCGGAGAAGACCCATTTTAAAGACGCAGTCACCGGTGAGTGGAGGTCAGCAGGGCTGGGGAGGGAGCCTGGGGGAGCGCGGACACTGCAGAAGCGCAGGCACGGAGGCCGAATTCCTCAGGAAATTCGGAAATGTCCTGGAAACCGATCCTGGCTTTGCGCTCCCAGGCGTGTTCTCCAGCGCAGAGAAAGAGCAAGCGCCAGTGGGTCCTCCTGACCTCAGGCCTGTACATGCGCGAGGAATCCGGGCTGAGGGCCAACCAGGCACCCCTGGCCTGATGCCAGATGAGAGTCTCCTCTGAGGGCCTGACCTCCCCTGGCTGCCTCGGGGCGACCCCTTAGGATCTGTCCTTCAGAGGGGCGCAGGGAAGGACAAAGCTGCACAATGTTCTGCTCCCCGGTTTTCCTTCTCATGCGCTGAAACTTGAAGGGGGCAGTATGACTTTCCCGTCAGGATCTGATGCCTTCGGTATCTTTTTGCGCAGGGCGGCAGGGCTCCCAGGCCCGTCTGCAGTCCTCGACTGAAGCCACCCCAGAGTGCATTCTGAACCGTGGCCTAATTTATGAGCTGTTTCTGCCCATCATTTTAACAACTCACCCAGATTCTCCAAAAATATCGTGGCCAGAGGAATGTCCATTCCTCAAGTAGCAAAGTTTGTACTTGCAGGCACTGTCAAAGACCACATTTAAATGTATTGATTGGTTTTCTCAGTTGTCTAATCTATTCATAATGAGGCCTTCGATCACCTGAGCACCTGGGCCGGGAAAAGATTTGTATTGATCACGTGAAGGAATATATATGTCATCTTTCCCTTCTCTCCCCCTTTATCATCACAGTAAAAAAAAAAAAAGGCATTTTTTTTATGTTCATAAAAATTCACATTTAAGCATTTTCCCAGGGTGTCTGCCCAGGACACAAGAAATCCTGCTTTGTGAGGAAGATATTTTATTCTTTGGGGACCAGTGTGAAATGTGGAAAACCGAGTCACTGTTCTGGGTCTTTGGGATCTGCGTTGTTAGGTTTTATAGAGTAAAAAGGGTTGGGTTTTTAGGTATCATGCTCCTTTTCTAAAAAGAAATTCCAAAATTTTCCCAAGTTCCAAAGGAATGTTTAAGGAGCTCCTGCTCATGAAGGAATGGGTGCGTTTGTCTTTTGACACCACCTGATGCCACAGGCAGAGCCCCAGCTCTGGCGAGGTGACACTGCCTGGCTGCACAGAGGGTTGGACAAGGTCTGGAGCTGACAGGCAAGAGCCATTTCCCTGGCTGGGGAGGTTAGGAGCCAGGAGGGTTCTGCCAGCCAGAGAGGCCTAACCATTGCTTTGGTCTTCCCCGCAGCTGGGAAGCACACAGCCAACTCACATCGCCTCTCTGCCTTGGTCACACCAGCCGGAAAGTCCTATGAGTGTCAGGCTCAGCAGACCATTTCACTAACCTCCAGCGATCCGCAGAAGACAGTCACCATGATCCTGTCTGCAGTCCACATCCAGCCCTTTGACATCATCTCTGATTTTGTCTTCAGTGAAGGTAGGTTGTGGGGGTGGTAATGGGAGGAGAAAGGGAGGAGGTAAGAGAAGGCTGGCATCAGGATGGATGTGGAAGAGGATCTGCTGAGGGTCCCAGGCTGCAGCTTGGATTTCCTCTAGGCTGACATGACACTACTAGTATCTCCTTCTGTAATGATTTTCTAAGGCTAAAGGCTGTAAACTGCATCATACCAACTTTCCTCAATGTCTTTTTCTTTTTTCTTCCCTCTCTCCCTTCCTCCTTCACTTCATTCTTCCCTCCCTCTCTTTATTTGTTTATCTTTCCCTTCCTCCTTTCCTTTGCCAAAAGGGGAACCTTGGTAGGGAGAGAGGTAAGAAAATCAGCTTGAAAAAATATATACAATTTTGGTTTAAATCTTTCAATCAAAAGGCAGCTAAAAATCTCAGGTAGCTACCTAGAGAGCCATAGGTTAGAGAAGGACCTTCGCTTCTGTGGCCTTAGTTTTTCCATGTTCTCTCAGACACTTCCAGCTGTAGTTTCTACCACTATGAGTCCAAGTTTATGTGTGGCTAGAATGCAATAGGGGTGTGTGTGTGTGTGTGTGTGTGTGTGTGTGTGTGTGTGTGTGTGTAGGTTGCATGGAGACCACAGAGAGAGAAATATGAAGAACTGCCTCCATCCAGCACTCACTATGTGGGAGGGATACCCAAAAGGTTCCAGAAAGGCCTGGGTCCCAGACCTGCTCACTCTGGGTTGTAGAGGAAATGTGCTTCTCCATCTGTGTTAGCCCCTGAGAGGGCATCAGACAGGTTCAGGGCATCTCCATTCCCCTGGTTCTCTGCCTCCCAGCAGAAGCAGGGCATGAAGAGAGCTCACCTTTCTGCAATTTGTCCAAGTCTAGCCACAAGTTACACTGGGCAAATGTAGGGCAAGTGAATTCTTCAATTCATTTTGTTCTCTCTCTCTTGTCTGGGGGAGGTTGTTAACAACAGGTACATATTCTGTTGACTCCTTGTGGTTAAAAATGGGAGAGATTCTGATTGCTTTATGGATGACTTTTTTGGGGCTGGGGCTCCCCAGGCGAATACAGTTATTCCAATGTTCAGGATATTAGGGAGTCCCCATCTGTGTCACACACAAATCACTGTCATTTCCAAAGGAATCCAGCTTTCATAAAATGCACTTCCCACTCAAACCAAATAGATCCACCCCTCCCATACACACACACATACCGCCACATGATCATTTAGAAGGCATTTGAGAATTCCTATGTTCTTGTGAGAAGGGCCTGCTTCTTTTTCATCCTCTTATGGTTAGCACCTAATACAGTGCTTGGCACATTGCAGATGCCCAGCTAACTTTGGCTGAATTGATATTCTGAAGCTGTGCACTCAATTAATAGAGACTTCCAAATGCTTCCATGCCAGGCAAGTCAGAATCTAATTGATTTAGTAAAGCAGCGCCACACTTAACGGTTCTCACAGAAGGATGGCCTATTCCATTTTAATGTATTTTCTTCAAAATTGAAACTAAACTCTGTGTCAAGACCTTAACGTGTGTTTTTTAAAAAAAATCTGTTTCATTACAGAAGTATTTATACATGTAATAATGTCTGTCTTAAGCTGAAAATATTAAAAATAATGAAATGTAATTGGATTTGTGATTATTGATGATCAGGAATTTATTCTGAAAATATTAGATTGTGTAGTATCAGTCCCAGGGTCCCTAACATAGTTGCTTTTGAGTTTATATAGGTCCTTTCAATAGTCTTTATTGCCTTTTGTTTTTTTGCTGGTCAGCTGTTCTTAGGTACTTTATTACTTCTTGGTACTACTGGTGCTGTAGTTGCTGCTTTTACTAGTTTTTTTTACCAAAACCTTGCCCTAACCCACTCTGGGCTAATTCTAAGTTGTTGCTTATTATCATCCAAGCACTGAGAAATCAAATCTCAGTTTAGATTTTTAGAATTGTGTACAATGTCAGAGTAAATGCATTCTGAATAAGGACCAGAGCTACTTTCCTAAAAACTGCTGAAGTTCATGGCATGGACTTAATGACATCTTTTGTTTGAAAACCAGTTTCTTATTCACTTCCAGTTCCTAGATGGGCGTGACAGTCTTGGAGTGTTTGTACCTAAGCCCATATAACTTCCTAAATGCAGATATATTAAGCACAAGAAAATTGCACCTGTCTCACCAGGCTTCTCTGGGTAATAATTAGGATGTCCCCTTCTGTATGGTGCCCTGGGGTTTAAGCCTTGTAGCTTAGGGAGCAGACAAGCCCCATTCAGAGTCACTCACTGGATCGATGTGCCTTTGTATGGTAAGGGCTCTTTTGTTCCTGGCTCCTCCTTGCCAGAGCCTCTCAGACTCCCGCTGTGTTTTGTAAGAGACCATTTTACTCGATTTTGTAAGACACCATTTTATTTGGTCCCCATTCTCCAGAATAGACCCTCAGGAGGCCCTGGCCATGTTGTGGATGGCTGTGTGAGTGTGAATGGAGCGTGCCTGTGTGTGTGTGTGTGTGTGTGTGTGTGTGTGTGTGTGGGAGGGGTTATCTGGTCATATATCTGTATGCTCACTGCAGGGTGTGTACATGCAGTTTGTCATCTGTGGGCAGGACCCACAGCATCAGGGTTTCCAATGAAGAACCTCTTCCCTGTGTAAGGGGGGCATACCTGGCAGCCTGCAGTTTCACACCTGCCTGCTTAGACTGAGAAAAACAAGGAAGGAAGGGTCAGTGAAGTGGATTAGTGGACACTCGCAGAGGCTTCTCTCAGCCCAAATGTGGGTTGACATCTTTTTTTTTTTAAATGAGGGGTAATTAGTGGTGCTATAATATGGGAATGTTTTTTTTTAAATATATTTTATTGATTTTCCACAGAGAGGAAGGGAGAGGGATAGAGAGCCAGAAACATCGATGAGAGAGAAACATCGACCAGCTGCCTCCTGCACATCCCCCACTGGGGATGTGCCCGCAACCAACGCACATGCCCTTGACCGGAATCGATCCCGAGCCCCCTCAGTCCGCAGGCCGACGCTCTATCCTCTGAGCCAAACCGGTTTCGGCTGGGTTGACATCTTTATCACACAAATCCCTTTGGAGCACTGAGCTTGGTTACTAGACCAATCCCCAGTGAAAGTCTCTGAGCCCAGCAGGGTCTACAGCTGCAGTGCGCACACGAATCTGCTGCAAGGTGTACAACTGCGGTGATCTTGTTAGCATGCAGAGTCTGGCTCAGTAGGTCTGGGCAGGGCCCACGGTGCTCCGTTTCTAGACAACCCCTCCCCCCTCCCTTCCCCATCATGCTCCAGGCCTGTGAAGTACTGTGGAAAATATACGACCATGGGAGGCAGTAACACACAAGCTTTACTGGTGCTTGGACATGGTTGCATGAGAAGGGAAGCTCCTCACAGCATGAGAATGACCAGAGGGAGGTACCTAAGGACCACCATCCAGAGGGGGAGGAGTATTGAAGAGGGGGTTACTGTGCCTAGGTGATGTCTGTCACTGGGTAGCACAGTGAGGAGTCTCTGGGTCAGAGAGCTCTGAGGGGCAGCAAAGAGACTCCAAGCCATATAGCTACAAGGCCCTAGCTTATCAATGGGTAACAGCTGTTGGCTGAGGTTTATTATGCGAAGCAGGTAGGCTCTAAATGGCTAAAAATCTGCTTGTTTGGGCTGTTTTAAAAAGAATTGGATGTGTAAAAATTTGAGTTTGGCACCAGCATGTTTTTCAGCTAATGGATCTCAGTCTGGGATGTGTGGCACCTCCCAGTCAAGAAATAAACCACCCAGGGGCTGATATGCGGCAGCCACATTGACTCATTTCCATAACAAATACACTTCGTGTGCCATCTACCTCCCAGCAGTTCAAGGCACCCCTGTTGTTCAGTTTGGGTGGATTAATTTGTCCTCCCACAGTTAATTCCTTATGTGTCCCTTTGAGGGCCCCAGGAGATTCCCGTATGTGATGGGGTGGGGGATGCAGCACTGGGAGGGGACGATCAGCCTGAGCATTGTAATGGCTTGAACTAAAGGCAACTTTCATGCATAATGACAGAAGAAACATAATGCAACACAAAGGGTACTTCTATTCCTCTCTATTAAAAATTCAGGTTTCACAGGCATTTACACGGTACCCCATATAGGCTGGTTCCTTTTAAATTCTCTTTTGAGGAGAAAAAAAACAAGCAAACCAACCCGTGAAGAGGTACTGAGACACCCCCCCTCCCCCCGTTTACAGTGGAGAAACTGAGGCTGGGAGAAGTGAAATTATTGGTGAAGGCTGCACTCCGACTGGCTGCCGGGGCTGGGGCCAGAACCTGCCTTTGGGTATCAGGTCCTGTGCTCTTAGCCTCTGAGAGCCTCCGCTGCTTCTGCTCAGCAACTATAACCAGCATGGAAGCAGGAGGCACCTTTAGAAAGGTCACCGGGTACCTTGGACTCATGAGCTTTTTGTCGTTGCTGCTAACATCATGAATGGGAGATGCCATCTGGACTGTATTTTACCCAGAACTATGGGAAAAACAACTTGTGTTCTAGTGGAAATGAACGAGCCTTACCTTGCTCTGTATGCCACCCCCAGTAGGTGCCCCGTGGCTAGCTGCCATGCCACCAACCCACCGAGGGTTTGCTGATGCTCATCCCGGGGGATGTGTGGCACCTCCCAGTCAAGAAACAGGTCACCCTGGGTAGTTGCTCCTCAGGGCCTCCTGTATAAGCATCTGAGAGATAATTCTGTTATAGTAACACTACTGAGAACTGCGCTGAAGGTTGGAATATGGAGCCCGATGTAGGGCCACGTTGCTGGTCTTAGAATTCTGTGTTCCTGGCACTGTACTGGGACACAGTGCTTTAGTGTGGGTTCCCCAGAAGCAGATCCTAAGGGAGTGTGTAAGGGCAAGTGGTTTACTTAGGAGATGGTTCTGGAAAGCACTGGCAGGGGATTGGGGAAGTGAGATAGGAAGGCAAGGCAGCTGTACAGGTCCATCAGTGAGCAGATTACTACTGTGGGCACCTGGGGTCACGCTGCTGGAA